GTTCTCTTACTTGATGATGATTCCGTACCTGAAAACTTGGACATCATGTTAGCAGCTTGTGCAAATCAACCTTTGGCTCGTTTACTTACATTTTTGGATGTTTGAGAAGGGGCAAATCGAGACACGGTTCCATATTTACTTTCATAGGTGGAGTATAAAGAAAAAAAATCATTTGTCACCTTAGTTTTAAGAGCTTCAACATCATCTTCAAAATTCATGTTACTATAATAAATATCAATTAATAAAAAGGTGCCATCATATTTTTGCCTAGGATCTAAAATAGAAGCAAAAATATAAATCATAGGAATATCGGTGTAATATTTACGCCATTTTTCCTCCATGTATGGAATATATCCACGATAAACATGTTGAGATCGGTGTTCCGCAAAAAGTTGTGCAAGTAAACATGCATTACTAAGAAAAGAATGAGAACAAGGATTATATACAGAAGAAAAACAATGTGTCATACCATATAGTAATTGTAAAAACTGCATATATTTTTCACAATTAACCCAATCATCTTCTAGTAAAGAATTTTGTGGAAATTTCATATTATAAAAAAGTGTTAAATGAACCTTGTACTCGATTGCCCGACTCAACATTTCATAGGTGGAGTTCCACCTAGTTGGACAATCCGGTGCTATTTTTATGGTTTTTATCCGTTGTTGCCTGCAAAAACCTTTCCATTCTTGATATCTCATGTTAGAGCTATTAATAGACATAATATCATTCCTTATTTTGTGATAAAATGGACCAATTGCTTGTGTTCCATCCTTCACACACAAGTTAAGAACATGACAAATGCATCTAACATGAAGTGCATTTCCATCTAATATAACATCGGTCAATTGGTTTTTGACCAAATTCGCACTATATGTCATAGAAGTTGCATTATCGAAAGTCATTGACATGATTTTATCCCTAAGACTATATGCATCAATGGCTTCCATTAAATGATGTGAAACGTTAAGACCGGTATGAGGGTATTCAAGCATTTTGAAATGAATGATGCGTTTTTGTAACATCCACTCATTATCTAACCAATGACAAGTAACACATAAATAGTGGAGTCCGTAACCACCATCCCATGCATCGGCGGTTAAAAAAACTCTACTAGGAAGATTAGCTAATTCATTTACTAATTTCAATTTGTACTCTAGATAACTCTTCATGGCAGCAGATCGAACAGTTTTTCGGGAGATTTTTTTGTGTTTTGGTTGTAGTGCTCGGTTAACATAGTTGTTGAAGGCATCATTTTCGGCGAAAAGAAAAGGTTGTTCCGCATGTACAATCATTCTCCCAAGTTCATCCCTATCTCTCTCGTAATTGTAAATGAAGCCTTGTGGATGGAATTGAGAAATTTTGGGTTGGGTTGGATCACTAGATGGTCCACCACATTTTTTTGTATGTCTATTAAGGTGTCCCGTCCCTCCCTTGGTATCGACCGAGAAAATTTTACCACAAGTCCGACACTTGGCCTTTTGTCCATTTTTACTTAATTGATAATGTGACCAAACTTCACTCTTTCTTTTGGTTTGAGCAAAATCCTCTTCGGTACACCACTCTAATATGTTAGGATTTTGGGTGTTGGGCATTTGGGTGGATGGTTCACTCGACCCGCAGGCTTGTGTTTGGCTACCTTGGGAAGGAAGAGGAAAAGGAAATTCATGTTGTTGAAATTGACTTTGTTGAAATTGGGTCCAAGGAGCCATATCATCCATTTGTTCTTGCCCTCCCGTGTTTTGGGGATGAAAGAAAGGGGTGGAAGTGTTTGGAAAGGGCATGTTAGGGGAGGGAAAGGGCATGTTAGGGGGGGGGGCATAGGCATTGAAGTGTTTGGATTTGGTGATTCCCTACGTTTTGACTTGACTTTTCTAGAGGAGGAGGAAGCGTTCGGGTTTGATGCCATGATTAATTAATAATAATAACAATAAAAGTAACAATAACAATAAAAGTAACAATAACAATAATAATAATAATACAAATAACAATAACAATAATAATAACAATAAAAGTAACAATAACAATAATAATAATAATAATACAAATAACAATAACAATAACAAAGTAACAATAACAATAATAATAACAATTCACAACAATAATAATAACAATTCACAACAATAATAATAACAATAACAATAAGAATTAGTAAGTAGTTTTTATATAAATTAAATTTTTAAAAATAATTATAATAATAGTAGATTACTTGGATCAATGAGATCCCAGGTAGGAGAGGTTAGGAGCGACGTTGTCCAGAGCCCAAGTCCCGCCTTAGACAGATTTCAACAATCCAAATAACCCACAATTAAAATAGAAAGTAGTTTTTATATAATTAAGTAGTTCCAACTTCCAAGAATACAATAATAATAATAATAATAATAATAATAATAATAATAATAATAATAATAATAATAATAATAATAATAATAATAATAACAAGATTAACAACTAACAATAACAAATTAAAATAAAGTTGAGTTAGATCTTACAATGACGCTTCAATGCTTTCCCAAATTTATAATTTCCCGAACTTATAATTTCCCGAATGTAAATATAAAATTTTTTTTTTTTGGTAGTAGACTAATAAAGGTAATAATAGTAAAAATGTAAAATTTATAAGAGAGTAGAATTTTTTTTTTTTTTTTCACAAAAGAGAGCAAGATTGTAGGATTTGTAGGAATTTGAGAATTGAGAATTTGGGAGTAAGAAAATTAGAGAATAAGAGAGAAGAGATGAGTTGATGAATTGTGAAAATTTTGGAGGAAAATATGAGGTATTTATAGGGAATTTGGGTGGGAAAAGGGGTGGAAAACTAGCCGTTTATAGCTGTTGGAAAACGGCTAGTTTTCCAACGGTATGGCACGGGCCGTGCCGGGCCGTGCCTTGCGGGCTCGTGCCGTGCCGTGCCGTGCCCGGCCGTGCCACGTCCCGTGCCGCCGGGTCGTGCCAGCGTGCCGACCCACAATTTTGTTCACGGCACGGCACACGACCCACAGGTGGGCCGCCGTGCCGTGCCATGCCGTGCCGTGCCGGAGTCGTGCCGGGCCCGTGCCGCCCGCGTGCCGGCACGGCCCGTGCCCATGTTTAGCTATATGTATATGATATTATCCAGCCATGATATCATATAGCCAGTAGAGGATATCATCCAGCCAATAGAGGATATCAAAAACCCGCTAGACTGACGAAACATTTGGTCGGTCTAGATTGATGCAATACCTTCTCCATAGAAATAGACTCATGTGATGATGAGATAGATAGAAAGAAATCATTCACACATAATAAAATATTGCAGTATTTGTGAAACTTATAATTATTGCAATATAAGGGAACTCATCAGAAGTATAATGGGGGGGGGGGAGACTGGAACCTAACCACCTGGAACTGATCCCCGAATCCGAAATAGCCCAAATGGTGAACCTTATTGTATTCTTTGACTAAACTTTGATCGTGTATGCACAATAATAATATATAAGTATTAAACTATGTCAAGTGAGATCTTAGATTGTTAGATTCGTAATAATGTGTTCTCCCTTCATTTTAATAAAGTATTACACATTCTTTTTGCAGCTGTTTATTTTTTAAAGTGTTACTCTTCCTTTTTTTGGCAATTTATTACATTTAGTTTATTAATTTTCTCTTCTCTCATGGTCTTCACTCAAACCCTATACTACGTCCCTTACTTTAATTTTTAATAAAATATTAACTCCTTTATCTTTTTTCTTAAATTTTTTTATTAGCGCAACTACCCTACTTATATATTTATATATTCAAGTGAATTAATTTACCTAAAATAATGTATCAGTCAAAGTGTAACAATTAAAAAAAAAAAAAATAGAGTGAGTGTTTTAATGTTTTATTATTATGTAATTTTCATAATTAATTATAAAATTAAATATATTTAATGATAAAGCATCGCACATAAAATGATAAGTAGTATATAGTATATTCAGAACTTTTTTTTTTTCTAAATGAAATAAATATTAAAGGGGCTTCGTATTATTGTATGTATTTAAATAAGGTGAATTAAACATATCCTTAACATTTGTTGTTCTGTTTGAATAAAATGCTTATGATATACTTTTTCTTTTCATTTTCTTGTTTTTTTTTTTCTTTTTTTTTTAATAATATTTGGAACGTTTAGACTTTTACGCTATTCATATAATCCAGTTTGACTACCTTTGATAATTATTACTAGCTAAGGAAAAATATAGTCAAGCCCTGTTCTCATCAGATTATTTTCTATCCACTTTAGCTCTAATAAGTTCAGTTCACCTTTAATAAGTTCAGTTCAGTTCAATTCAGTTCAGTTTAGTTCGGTTCAATTCAGTTTAGTTCAACTCATTTCAGTAAATGAGATCAGACCCTCGTACATGATCTTGTTAAATTCGTTTGTTCTTGATTGAAATAGTGACAAAATGACATGAGAAGGTTTTTTTTTTTTTTTTTTTTTTTTTTTTTTTTTTTTTTTTTTTTTTTTTTAGTACTTCCTTTGTTTTTTTTTTAATTGACATTTTTTTAAAAAATTGACATATTTGTTTTTATGTTTTGTTTTATTTTAGTTTTATTTTGTTTGTTTTTATTTTTTTTTGTTAACTTTTGCCAACAAACTATTTCAATGATTAATATATCTTATTATCAATAAGTAAAAAATTTTTTAAATAAATTGATCTTATGATTTAGATATTTTGGAATGATCTAACAAGACTTTACGTGCTTATGTTGTATAAATTGTAACTATAAATAAAAAAAGCTAATCAAAGCATAATTTGTAATTAATGCCAAAATCAAAACGTGTCAACTAAAAATGAAGGAAACAACTTTTAATATATATCTCAATGTATAGTTTATACTTTATAGCTTAATTTTTTAAACTCTATTTCTATTGGAAAGAATTTGTTCCTTTTTCTTTTTTCCTTTTTATTTTTTACTTCATAAGTATTTTTTAATTTTTGTAAAGAGCTTTATTACTTACTTGAGAATGGAGGAAATGTCCAACTAATACAAGCAAAGATAAATAAAATCAACAAAGTCATTTCAAAATCAACAATCAACTCATGTACTTTAATCCTAGTAAAAAAATCTAGCATGAAAATTACTCTAAACATTAAAACCAATTATTTTCAATCACCCCAAATTCAATCCAATCCAATTCTAATTAAAAATACAAACTAACATCTACTTGTATAAATAAAAATAATAAAATAAAAAATAAAATTGGTGACATCTCATATTCTCATAGCACCTATAAATAACCTCCACTCTCAACCATTCCCTCTTCTCTCTCTTTCCTCAAGAGGGAACCACACAAAAACCCACTTCTACCCTCTCCTCTCCCGCGCCACCCATTCACCCAATCAACCCCCGTGCACGGTGGTCGCGGCTAAAATACGCCGGGATTAAAATGGACAAATCCTACGCATCACCAAGCTCCAACGACTTACCCGGGTTGACCCGAACATACAGTAACCGACCCGTAAAAGTAATCCCATTACAACACCCAGAAACGACGTCGTCGTCACCTGGATTCTCCCTAACGACGTCGTCTAGCTCGATGATTGCGAAATGGAGGTTGAAGATGAAGGAGATGAGTATTACTGAATGGATCTCGTTGTTTCTTCCTTGTTATCGTTGGATGAGGTCGTATAATGTTCATGAATATCTTCAGTCTGATCTTATGGCTGGTATCACCGTTGGTGTTATGGTCGTACCTCAGGTTTTTCTCTCTCCTCCCCTTTTTTTTGTTTAATTTTTTTTTTTAAATTTAATTGGAATTCATGGAAATTTTATTTTATTTTGTTGTCACGTAAAATGATGAATGTTTTTGAAGCTCAATAACTCCATTAAATTTATCATTCATTTTTCTTACAATATTGATTTTTCAGATTTTTATTTTTGGAGATAGCACGTAGTAATTATACTCTCTGTCTTGTATTAATCGCCTCGAGTTTTATAGGGGTTTAATTGACTTTTTAATCGTGTATTTATATTTATTTTTAGTAACACATACTATAACATCGGACTGAAATGTACCCGTGCTTGGATACTAAGGAAGTTATTTAGAGGTACTCTATGGTCATATTAGTTTTTTTTTTTTTAATTTTTTTTTATTATAAAAAACAAATTGTATCTGAGTATTGAGATTTTGAAAGGGTAAGGTGAAAAGTTGGGAAAATAATATCTTTATATCTCAGAAAAATATTTAATCGTTGCAAATAATATGCGATGGAGGTAGTATAATTTTTTTAATAATTTTTTATTATTTTTTTGAAAATAAGTTGTTCTCCGCGTAAAAAATTGACTAAAATTGCACATTGCATAACACTCTAGTTCGTTTGTTTCTTTTTTCTTTTTTTTTTTTTTGATTTTTTAAATTTTTTTTTAATTTGTGGGTAGTATTTATTGTTTGTTTTTTCATTCTTTTCTTTTTTGGAGTGCTTTCCCTAAATAATGTTGGAAAATTCTCTAATTCCCAAAATACAACCACTCTTTTTTTAATTCCCACTATACCGTCCACGTCAGCTTAGGGGAAAAAATCGGTTTTTTTTTTATCGGTCCAGCAACAAACCGCTACTTGAAGTAGCGGTGTTTTGAGTGTAAACCGCTACTTCAAGTAGCGGTTTCAATTTCATACACCGCTACTTAAAGTAGCGGTTTACACAAGAACACCGCTACTTCAAGTAGCGGTTTGCTGTAAATTTTTAAAAAAAAAAATCAGTAAGGAGAAGGGGAAAGTGATCGCCACAACTTACCGCAGCTCCACCCACCACCACCCCACGTAACACCGTACCCACCCACCCTGTCTACCTTGACCACCACCCACAATATAAAATAAAAAATAAAAAAAAAAACAGAAAATCCAAAAAATAGAAAACCGTCTACCTTGACCACCACCACCACAACCCAGTACCCCCACCTTAACCCACCCAGATCCAGATCTACCACCCAAACACACCCAAACCAAACCCAGATTTACAACCTTAACCAAACAACCACCCAAAAATTAAAAAAAAAAATACCTTAACACCGAAATTGAATGTTAATTTCTCATCGAATTTGGTTTAATACGGCCAAATTCGATCATGAAACCTCTAGATCTAGAGGTTTCATGGTCGAATTTGACCATAATAACCATGCGACGCCGGCGAGAAGGAAGACATACAGCACCTCCAAGGAGTGTAGGTTGCTTAGTGGTGGTGTTGGTTGCGCAGCCTACCATATTTCTCGCAATTTCTAGGCTTCAATTTAACCCACGCTCCCCAATTTCATTGATATCAGAGCTTCATTATTCCTTCAACTTTCCAATCAATTATATAATCTCATCTTTATTTCTTTAAACCCTCCAAAACCCACCATTAATTTCCTCCCAAAAATTGGAAAACCAAGTATTTCTGCTTGAACAATGAAAGAAGAAATCGAAAAACCCAGAAAATTGAAGTTTTCTAATGAAAATCAGCCACCAAAGAATGTAAAAAGGAGAAGAGAGGAGAAGTGAGAAGGAGAAGAGAAGAGAAGAGAAATGACAGAATGGCGGAGGAGAGAGAAGGAGGGAGGAGAGAGAAGGAAAGAGGAGAGGAGGAAAGAGGAGTTCAGAGAGGAGAGGAGAAGGGAAAAGTGAATTTGTAAAAAAAAACTTAGTAAATACAAACCGCTACTTGAAATAGCGGTTTCTAATAAGAAAACCGCTACTTCAAGTAGCGGTTTTATTCAGTATACCGCTACTTCAAGTAGCGGTTTGTAAAAAAAATCGGTTTAAAAAAAATTCCCATTGAACCGGTGATGTGGACGGTATGGTGGAAATAAAAAAAAAAGTGGTTGTATTTTGGGAATTAGAGAAATTACCAACATTATTTAGGGAAAGCATTCTCTTTTTTGATTTTTTTTTAAAATTTTTTTGGTTGTGGGGTAATAACTAAATGTCTAGATAGAGGTGCATCTGATGCTTAAGCTTAATGTATCTGAAAATGAAGGTTAGATTCATTTTATAAGGATTTACGCCAAAATGCTGACAAAGTAATGACTGTATACTTTTGTTTTACTGCATTAGGTTTTCGTTGTAAATTTTTTATTTTTAAAAAGTAATCATAATTGCTATTTCCCCGGAATAAAGATTAATTTCTTTAGTTGATTTCGATTATTTTTCAATTTCAATTTCACTTGTCTTTGTTTTCGTAAGTAATACGGAGTAGGCTAGATTTGATATCAAGCCTTACCAGCTCTCCATTTGCATTAGTATTAATATTAAAAAATAATATCTACAATAACTTGGGACTTGACAAATATAATTGGCTTCTATAGTTTTTTTAATTTTTATTTTTTCTACCTTGGATATTTACATAATAAAGTATTATTTTTGTTCGAATTGTGCTGTGTTGGCATGAGTGAAGGGAGATTGGCCTGTGTAAAAATGGAGATTAGTGGTTGAAATCCATTAAAATAATAATGGGGTGGGGCCAATTTTGAGATTTTCTCTTTTTAAAGAACTTGGTCCTGTTTTTGGCCATTGTGCTTAGCTAGTGGTGTATAATTCAAGAAATATCAACTAGATTCCAACTTTAAGACTATGTCAATTATTGTCATTGTCATCAATTGACACATTTTTTTTGTTGAATAATTTAGTGTAATGTTTGTCATGATCTATAATTGAAACAAACCCATTTTGTGTTTTTGGTCCTTAAAATTTATGGTTAAACTCGCTTTTATGTAGATAGTTTTTCTTTTGGTGTAGAGCCATTCAATGGACAATGGTTTAGCAAGACTTGATACCCCATGAATTTAACAAACTATGTTCGTTGACAACCACTTGTTTTAGGTAGAATGTGGATGGAACTGCATTGGCTTAAAATTTCTAATGTACATAGATCAATCAAAGAAACTAATGTGATAATTTACTAGTAACAATGTAACAATCTATGTTTCTTGGACTTGAGTGCTAGTGTCGAACATGGGTGTGTGTATCCAATAGCGTTAGAGCTGGCAACATTTATGAAATATTTTCATGATCTTGTTTAGACAAGCGGTACCATTATAAAGCTTCACAAGCAGATTTTACTTGATTATTCAAGACACACTTTTGGCTGACGCTGATTACTAAGGTCCTAAGGAATGGATGTTCTTGTTTTTTTGATCCCTGGTACTACCATCCCTATATGTTATAGTGTAACAGTGTTACAGCTTACAGTTCATTCCCTAACTAGCAATATATGCTGTGGTGTGAAAAACGAATCAGCAATTCTGTTAGATCCTTCCCTTTAGTCACATCTTCTGGCTCAAAAAAGGAATTTTTTCTGAGTTAACATTTTCATGTGGCACATGTTATTCGTGGAGCTTATCTTTTCACTTAGAAGTTGAGGTGTATTTATTTACCTGAAGTACTTGGTTAGAAAAAAGATGATCCTTTTAATCATCAACTCTCTGGACTTGAATTGACTGGTGGTTTTTTTGATCAGGCAATGTCGTATGCAAAGTTAGCTGGGCTTGCACCAATTTATGGACTCTGTAAGTACACTATCATTGTATTTCTGGGAGTCTGGTACTATCTACTTTTATGTAGAGTTTCTGCATTTAGCTGTGTCTAATTATGGTATGTTATTGATGTTATTGTATTTTGCATATTCATTGGTGGGTCTATGAGCAGATGTTGAATTTTCTTCTTTCTTGCTAAGTTGCTATACTAGAAAGATAGACAAATAGTCCGAGATTTTTACTGTCTTTACATTTATGCCAACTTTGATTTTAATTCTTAATCTTTCTCAATTTCGTGGTGGGACTCACAGAAACTATTAATTGTATAAAAAAAAAAAAATGCAAGCCTTTAGTTACTTAGGGCTACATGATGAGAAGGCGCCCCCAAAGTTGGGATTAATCTTAATTAACTCCAAAATATATAATAAGATGATCAGGACTTTGTATTATCTATTATAATTTTGTATGCATAATTTTTTAATGGCTGATTTCAAATACTGGATTGTTATAGCTGTCTGAATTATTGTACACTTAATTTGTACATAAGATGTATACTGATCCTTATGGGATTTCAGGCTTCTGGAACAAAGTTGATCCAGCAGATAACACAGCATAGACACATGTTTATAGAAGCTATCTTAACATGACATTTAGTTACATTTCATTAGTTTGATGATCCTCCTCTCTCTCTTTTTTATTTATTTTTTATTATTTTTTTTAATTATAACTGTTCTGATGCGAAAATAATTAGGTTATCTCCCTGCATTTCTACGCACAATCAATTAATAATTGTTTCAGAAGCTTGGTCATGGTCGCTTGATCTAAATTTGATTTACGATGTTTGTGAACTACTGCTCTGTGATGGTAATTCTGACTGCGGTTCTGGTTTTTTCTGAACAGATTCTGGCTGTCTACCTGTATTTATATATGCCATTTTTGGCTCCTCAAGGCAGCTTGCAGTTGGTCCAGTTGCATTGACATCTCTCTTGGTGTCTAATGTATTAAGTAAGATTGCTAGTCCATCTGATGAACTGTACACAGAGCTTGCAATAACATTGGCACTTATGGTTGGCATATTGGAGTGCTTGATGGGCCTTCTGAGGTAATTATTGCTCACATTATTTTATTATTTTGATACTTTCCGAAAGGACTATCAAAATTACTATTCTGAAAATTTGTCGAAAATCGATTTACATGTGTGGCTCCTAGTTTTCTAAAAAGTTGGCTGGTTTTTTCTTTCTTTTCTCTTTACAGATAAAATAGATTACTAGTTTGTATTTCCATAAATATTATGCAGTTGCAAATATGGACTTACACTCAATATTATGCTAAAAAGTAATGTCTCCTTGGTTAATGAAACCTTATGTTGCTTGGTCTTAGGTATCTGTGTAGAACAGAGCTATGTGTCCAGGTGTTCCACTTGACCTTATTGTTTTTGGTACAAAGTAAGGTGTTAGCTGTAGTGTACATACATATATCAAGGTTTTGAGTACCCATCTATCCGATTCTGGAACTATGGGTGAAGAGGCTTAGAAGCATAGCCAAAGGCCTTAACGAGAGATGGGATATTTTATTCCAATAATTTCAAACAGGTCTAGTTCATGATTTTCATAAATCACTGTACACTCAATACTTTTCTTTTCTCCCCAGGCTTGGATGGATTATTCGTTTTATCAGCCATGCTGTGATTTCTGGCTTCACTACTGCATCAGCTATAGTTATTGCCTTGTCTCAAGCAAAATACTTTCTGGGGTATGATATAGTTCGAAGCAGTGAAATTATCCCCCTTGCTGAAAGCATTATATCTGGTATAAGTAAGGTACGCTTTAGATCGCCAGATGATGGGAATTCTGTATGATAGTCTCAAATGCTTTAGTTTTTCTATATCCGATTTCTGATAGTCCTGAATATATCTTATTGTTATGGATGATTTTTCAATACAACAAAAATGTCAAAGCCAATAGGATGTGTTTGGTTGCATGAACCCAAAATAAATTCTTGTGGTTTTCAATAAATATAATCTTCCTCTATTCATTTCTATTTAATGTTTTAGAACTCCTTTAAACCCAATATTTTCATATCATTCTTAACACCTTCAATCTTAGTCATCTTTTTCCTTCCTCAACTTCTTATAAAATCCCGATCATCCCAAAAATGTTCTAACTAAAGGCTTACCTTCCCATGACAAAATCATCTATTTACACTTATCCTCAATATCTGCAGCTCCCACCTTCTTCCAAATATCTTGACATACAAATCTTTGATATCCCCATCTTTCCAATGTGTTGCTTCCTAAATTACTATTTTATGTTATGTTTTGGTAAAAACATGCTCTTATGAGTTATGATCAGTTGTTGGGTCTGTTACATTCAAGTATGAATTGGTATATGATTGCTGTATGCTGTTGTTTAGTTTTCTCCCTGTCCTCTGTGATACAAAAATAAAGTAAACAAACTTGTGGATCATTTTAAAGTGGGAGGCTAAGCCCTAAAAATCTGGTTTGATTATTAATAATTTTTTCATCCTGTTATCACGCATAATCTAAACTTTAAAATCTCCTGAAAGATCTTATGAGAAACCACCTAGGTTAATTAATATTGGTGCATTATATGTGAAAGCTTATTGACTAATTGCTGTGGTATAATCTAGTACCAAGTATTGCTTCTATGAGAACTGAGAGACAACCTTGCAAAATTATGTCAAACTTGGAATATCTCACATATAAAGTAAGATTGCAGGCTCTAGGGTGAAAATATGCCTAACTCTAAGGGAAGTCATTCAAAAGAATTATTGTAAAATGTCTTAAGCAGTAGAATCATTCATGGTGAATCGGTGATCATGCATTCAAGCAAATATCATATAATTTCATATGTTAGAAAATCCCTTGGGCCAGAATTTGTGCAGATTTATCTGATATGGTTTTCTTTTCCCTTCTTTTCATATACATCATTATTTGAATACTGTCCTAGGTGATGCTCTAAAATTAGATTTGCCCTAAAATGAAATAATATTAAGTAGACTTCCTTTCCTTATCTGCAAAAGCAAGAGTACTTCTCCTGATTTCCACAACGTGTCTCTCAATAGTTAGATTTCTTTCCAAACTATTGAGCGAATCTGAATACTTTTCCTTATGCACCACTTTCTGTGTTTTTCAATACACACTTGATTTTTTTCAAGTTTTAGCATGCTTTTTTTTATTTTTTTTTTATTATTATTTATTTATTTTATTTCTTTGGCTCTTAAAAATAAAGTAAATATTTTTAACAGTGTGTGTATTCCTTGTGCAGTTTCAATGGCCACCGTTTGTGTTAGGGTCTTCGATTCTTGCTGTGATGTTGATAATGAAGCACCTGGTAAGGAGCTCAACAAAAAACTCTGTTTTTCCCCTGGATGTTTTATAAACCTAAATCATATAGGAATTGAATGGTTATTTGATATTTTATTATGCAGGGGAAAACAAGAAAGTACCTGAGATTTCTCAGAGCAGCAGGCCCATTGACAGGGATTGTTTTTGGTACTGCTATTGTCAAAATATTTCAACCATCTGCCATCAGTGTGGTGAGATACCATGAACCTAGCCTTTATTATTTGATGTTCTGGGTGGCTTTTCATTTTGGGAAAATTTGCTGTTTTGATATTAAACATATAGGTTACTAATGAGATACAGTCCTATTATTCTATATGTGTACTGGTATAAGCCTATATGTTAATATACATGGATAAGGGAATTCTTATAAATAGTTCCTTTTATGTAAGTCTTTCTTAATTGAATTTCAAGATGCCATGCACCTTCTTGACTGCTTCATCTCACAATTGCTTTTTGGCAAAACTAATGCATTAGGACAATCTAATGTGTCTGAAATGGAATCATTCATCTACTAAGTCTTTACTTTATTCTTTATTGTTCATGTCTCTTGCAAACATCTCAAGCTCTAAAATGAAATTGCTTGTTGAATGAAGCCTACATCGGAAGTGGAGCTTAGCTTATAATAAGTGGTTGACAATGAAAGTCATATTTATCAACCTCAATTAAATCAAACAGTCCTTCATAGCTTTGTATCTTATCTAATAAGGCCTTTAGGGTAATAGCTATTTGGACGTGGTTAAAAAATAAAACCTGGGTTCTTGCTGCTGAATGCTGAAGTACTTTAAGTACTTTATTCAAGTTGTTCTAGGCCTAAAGCTGACTTAAAGCAGCCACAAATTTGTAGCTGTAAATACATACCGTTGATGAAGGGCATTGGTAGTTCTTCACTTTGTGTGGCATATTTCTGCGATACTTATATGTTTAACTTTAAAGTAGTATCTCATGGTTTGCTATTGTTATGCAATTTACTTACTATTGCTGGTATAGGTTGGGGAAATACCTCAGGGGCTTCCAGAATTTTCAGTTCCTAAAGCCTTTGCTCAGTTCAAGTCCTTGATTCCAACAGCATTTCTTATAACTGGTGTAGCTATATTGGTAAGGACAAGAGAAGTTTTCTTCTTTCTAGTGATAGCTTTCTACTGGAGCTCCGAATTTGTATTTAATTGTCTAAATTGTTGGACTTCAGGAATCTGTGGGAATTGCCAAAGCACTGGCAGCAAAGAATGGTTATGATTTAGATTCTAATCAAGAGGTATGGTTTAAGAGCATTGCCTGTGTGTCTTACCTACTGAATAGACATCCGTAGTCTCTTACAGATAAAGGAAACCTATCCACAAATTTTTAAAAGAAAAAGAGACAAAATATGAGGGGGGGGGGGGGGGGGAAGGCAGACCACAATGTGCTCACTATTATTGTTATTCTGTTTTTCTTCCCTTTAACAGAAAATTTGAAAGTAATATATTTGGCTGCATAGTGATTGCTAACTAAATTCTATTTAACAGCTTTTTGGTCTCGGTGTAGCCAACATTGCTGGATCATTTTTTTCTTCTTATCCCAGTACAGGTGAGATTGCTGTTTGTAGATTCTGCATATTTGTTGATCCTTTTCACTTCTTACTGCATGTACTTCCAATTTCAAATGCAAAAGGAGTTTGGAAGTTTCATTTTTTATTTTATTTTTTAATAAAACTTCTGATACTTCTTACTGAATGGAAGTTTTGTTATTTTTGATGGCGCAGGCTCATTTTCTAGATCTGCGGTGAATCATGAAAGTGGAGCAAAAACCGGATTCGCTGGAATACTCACTGGAATCATAATGAGCTGCGCTCTCCTGTTTCTAACTCCATTATTTGAAAGCATACCACAGGTGTGATGCTTGTTCTACAACTTGTGCATTTCTGTCTTGTAAAAGTTGAAATCTTAATGACTTATGCTAAAGAGTAACTGTAAATACATTTATTTTTTTCCTTATTTTGGAGCTTGTTAGTCATTGATGCTCACTAGAACTTTAACCATTTTACAGTGTGCACTGGCTGCAATTGTAACCTCTGCTGTGATGGGTCTGGTGAGTATACTAAATTTATGAACCTTATTATGGTTTGATTATGTATATTTAATTTACCCTGAAGTTCTAAATCAATTCAGCACTTGGTTGAATTATTTTAAATGCTGCTGCCTGCTAGTCCACTCACAGCAACTATGCTTGTTTGCAGTCTTACGGCCTACTTACCCTTGATATTCTGTATGATTTAGGTTGTCAGAACAGCAAAAAAAATAGATTGCTTGTAGCAATAGTAGCTGGTTACAAGGACTAAAAAGTTAAATTTGTTTCTTTATGATCTGTGTATTGCTGAAACTCAGAGTGATGCATAAACTACGAAATGGATTACTTGTGTCATTTGAATTCTTTCATGGTGGATCCTCAAGTAGGTTTTCAATAATTTTTTTTAAATTCTTGTGTTGGCAGGTGGATTATGAGGAGGCTATGCTTCTATGGCGCATAGATAAGAAAGATTTTTGCCTTTGGACGATCACTTTTGGTGCAACACTATTTCTTGGAATTGAGATTGGAGTCCTAGTTGGGGTGAGTTACTTCACTGTTGCATATATATAAAACTTATACATCCACATACATATGTACTTCTAAAATTGCCCCACTTTGACATCTCTAGAATGATACATAGAAGTAGTAACGTGACTTGTGGCATCCTAAAGAGGAAAGAGACCTTCCTCTAGTTTTCTTCTGGGGCGGGTGGGGGAGGAGTGAGGGAATATTCTAGGTGAAAGTCCAACATATGTTGCACATCCATGGGCTTTAGAGGATGGGGTGAATATCTAGTTTAAAGTGGCCCTGTGTCAAGATGGCAGGATCACAAAGCTACATGCTAGATTTTGGACAGAATTAGCTCATGGTTTAAATTTTATTCATTGCCTGTATCGTTATAGAGTTCATGTTTGTCCTTGTTTATGCTTTTTTTAGGTTGAGATTTTACTATATTATTAAAATCAATTTACTAATATTGACTTAATGCTTGAGTAGTTGAGTATGATTGATGGGTTTAATATTTAACAACTTTTTTCTCCCTTGTAGGTTGGTGTTTCTCTTGCTTTTGTAATCCATGAATCAGCAAATCCACATATTGGTGAGTGCAAAAACTATAGTTTTCTCTATATCTTATACTAAGGCTGGATCATTTTTTATGCAAGAAAACCCTCCAATAGGATACAAAAAGATATTCAGAAGTCTGTTAGCCAGTATGATCTGATTGTAGCCATGAGCCAGTGTGCTGTTCAATTGAAGATTTAATTTCTTTCTTTGAATGCTGCAGCTGTACTTGGTCGTCTTCCCGGTACAACAATTTATAGGAATGTTCAACAATATCCAGAAGCATATACATACCATGGTATAGTGATTGTTCGTGTGGATGCACCAATATACTTTGCAAATACTAGTTACATCAAAGATAGGTAAGTCTGTTGATACAATTCTCAATATGATTTGGTAGCTGCATTTCTGCTGAACTGAAGTATCTGCAAGCTCTTATAATTATAATTAAATTTCTGAATATCATTTGATTTCACTTGTAGGTTGCGGGAATATGAATCTACTGTTGACAAATCTATAAGACGTGGGCCAGAAGTAGATCGAGTTTATTTTGTAATTCTTGAGTTGTCACGTGAGTATCTGAAATTTCCTTATAGATTGTTTTCCCCTTCCTTTCCTGTTTCAATGAGTCATGACTCATGAGTGTTTAATTGAACTTGATTTTATGGCACAGACTTGATGCAAAAACTTTTAGCTAAGTGCTATAAGTTAGCAGGATTAAATTATAATGAAGTAGCAACGAAGTTCATGTTAGTCCTATTTAAATCAAAGATGTAACTTCAAATAGCAGGGCACGAATTTAACACCTTTGCCCCTTTAAATCTGCCATAGGTATGACCATAGGAGCCTCATGAGAGGATTGAAGAGGCACTAAATGATGCTATAATAGTGTGGTGGGCTAATAGAACAATAGATGGAGTTTTTCTCTTGAACTGTTAACTAATTCTAATGTATATTAATTGTAGTGGTATCATGTTTACATCAAATGTGACATTCAGCTTTTCTAAAGAAGCTGACAACTCTCAGAAATATTTTCTTCTTTAGAACCAAAGCTTTTCTATTCCTAACCTTAAATTAATTCTTGATTCGTTATATTATGAATCTCAACACATATTGACAATCGACATCTGTACGTTTTTTCTTTGCAGCTGTGACATATGTTGATTCAAGTGCTGTCCAGGCTCTAAAAGACTTGTATCATGAATACAAATCTCGGGGCATCCAGGTTTATGCTTATTCCTTGAATTTTTTTTATTTTTGAAATTTTTTTAATTTTTAATTTTTTTTTTATGGAGGATTAACAATTTTCGCTTCTCTCTGTTAATTTTTCAGATTGTAATTTCCAATCCTAATCAAGAAGTTCTGATGACTTTCACGAGAGCTGGCCTTGTTGAACTGATTGGGAAGGAATGGTACTTTGTGAGAGTGCATGACGCTGCTCAGGTATGTTTTCAGCAAGTACAGGAAAATGAAACACCAAGGACACCAGATTCCCTCAAAGACAGCAAGCGAAGTCTCTTCCAAAGACTTGGCCAAAAGGAAAATTTGCCAACACTTGATTTGGAATCCAATGATCAAACGTCGATTGTTTCAAGCAGTTCTGATCAACAATTACAAGAACCGCTGTTGCCCAAAAGGTCTTAGTGTCACATTCCCTGCTTCAATATCTAAAACCATTAATGCCGTTCTTTGGAGTTCTTTTGTATATAAATCTCATTTTTTGCTGATATACCACAGGACGTGGTTTGTATTTCTGTAATTAGCCCTTTGTTGTAACTGTTGTGATTGAGGTGATTTTTTTGTAAGATGTATTGTAATTGGATGTATAGACTGTAATATATGGTGTATACTGTATAATATCGTATATTCACCATTGCAGCCCTTTTGGGATAGTCAATAAATTATAGAAACAAGTTTGTTGTGTTCATCATCGTGATTATGTTCCTGTTGCTGAGTATTTATTTTGCAGCGCAAGTTTTTGGAAACAAGTGAACAATCTGATGTGATCCATTCTCATGATCAAGATCACTATGATGGTATGAATCTATAAACAACAATCTGAAAACAAAAGGTGGAACTAACAAAAAATGACATACAATAGTAGAAACCCTAATCAATCAATAAGATTTTTTTTTTTTTTTTTGACATCCAATCAATAAGATTAATGGCTTGTTTAGTATATAATTTCACCAGCCCAAATTATATCTGCTAATCCGATCCCTGCCTTCCTTTGCCAATCTGAAATCGAATGACAGATTTTTTTTTGTTTTTTACGGTCAGATCTGCAGCGCTTAATGATTCAATCATAGCTGATACGTATGAAGTGAAGTTAGCTTTCTTTACTAACTCTCACACCGGTTATTCAACAGAAGATAGGATCAGTCTACAAGAATTTTCATCACTGTCCCTTACCACTAGAGGTCGTATTGCTGAATCTGGTGTTAATTAACATTTATAATGTAAAGTACGAGTTTGGAGATGATGATCATATTACGCTACTTATAGATATTATGATGTTTGTCATGTTATGTTGCTTTTCAGACCAAAATTCATATCCAAAGATAAGATATAAATTTAAGAAGTCCATCAAAATCTTTTCACTGCTTAGTAGTGCTACTGATCATTCTATTATGCCAGTTGTTATTAATAATTTGCATTATTGAACTATATACTAATATACACAGCCAAAGTGGAAGAGAGAAATGCAATAGAGGAAACTACATTGAAAATTTTAAGGTATATGCCGTGCTACCAATCTACCATGCTCGGTACAGATAAAAAACGAGAAAAGAACATGTAGCTATTTTATAAAAACATACAATTATCTTGTAAAGAATATATAACTGTTTTGTTAAAAAAAAAAAACATCTAATTTTATGTATATATATATTTTTTTATATCTAAAGAACATCTGCAATATTAATAAAGAATATGATAATACGTAGTATTATGTAATGAACATTATTTATATATACCCATCATAATTTATAGACAAAGTTCAAAGAACATTTTGCAATAAGCAGCGAACATTATATTACAAATAAAAGTACAATATACTGATAATCAAAGAATATGGACATATGTTCTTATCACTCTTTTTTGGTACAAATATGTTCTTTTTTCTTGAGGTATATGTTCATTACAATTTAATAGTATGTATATTTCAATAGCGGTATGTTCTTTACATTTATATAATATGTTCTTTCCGCGAGAAGGGTCTGTACGATGTACCGTACAAGCGCCTTAGGAACCAGGCACTGGAACTACGTACTTGAATTCTTGTGAAAGCATGTGTTTAATTAAGGAAAATTTGCGAGGAATGTCCTTTTATGAGGTAAACCTTGTGTGGAAGGTCCTTTTATGAAAAAGGTGGGACAAAAGGTCCTTATATGAACATTGGGTTGCGAGGAGGGTCCGTTGACTGTTCTCCGGCGTTGACCAAAATTTTCTGGCGATTTAAAATCACGTGCAAATCACGTGACCCTTAAGTTACCTTTTTTTTTTTTTTTTTTTCCTTTCCCCTCTTTTCTCACGATTTTCCCTCATTCCCCCATTTCTCCCTTATGAAACCCTAATTTCAAAACAAAATTAATCCCCAAATCTTCAATTCTTATCCCTAAGATTACAATTGAAGGCCAATCAAAGCCATTTAACCATAGCCGGTGCTGTGTGCTCTTCTTTCCTCCTCACCTTAGTGTTGTTGCTTGAACTTTTCCCCATTGTCTTCTTCGTTCTTTAATTTTCGCCGGTTATTTGTGGGTGGGTGTTCGTGGGCGGGGGTAGTGGGGTTGGGTTCTAGTGGGGTGGATGTTCGAAGTGTGGGTTTTAATGGGTGGTTTTCGTAGGTGGTCGGTTCTGGTAGTTTTGGTGAAATTAAACACCATAACAACCATAATTCTAATTCGAATGGTTGTTTCCAAGCTTAATTTAAAGGGGGAAAAGGGAAATCAAGGGAAAAGAGGGTAAAAGGGAAAAAAAAACCTCATTTAAGTGGTCACGTGCACATCACGTGATTATTTTTGGCCGGAAAAAATTGATCAACGCCGGAATTTGGTCAAAGGACCCTCCTCACAACCCAATGTTCATATAAGGACCTTTCGTGCCACCTTTTTCATAAAAGGACCTTCCACACAAGGTCGACCTCATAAAAGGACCTTCCTCGCAAATTTTCCATTAATTAATAGATAATTCTCTGTTATCATTGTATTTCTAATTGATCATACGCAATTTACACGAGTATTTGATGGTGACTTTTATTTTGACAACTATTTTTCAGCTTTAAATTTTGGTAGAATGACTAATTAGATGGGCCAGGAGGCCTAGGATATATGGGTATCACATAGAAGGATTGATCTTCCTAGTATGTTAAATCATAGGATTTCCTCCGTTTTTTTGTTGAAATGATGAACCACTTCTACTTTTAAATAATAATTAATGTGTGAAATTATTATCTTTTCCGTTTTACTTGCCACTCTAATAAAAGCTTACCCCATGGGTAAATTTGTCATGTTTAATTCACTTACGCGCTGTTTGGGTTGATGTAAAAGGTTTTCATGGAAAATGAGTATTTTATTTTTTTTCCATTTTCCTTTGTTTGGTTTGTTAAGGGGTGGAAAACAATTTTTTCAAGGGTGGAAAATTTCATCCATAATGATGGAAAATATTTTCCTTCCCAAAACAAGGGAAGTCACATTTTCCTCTCTCTTCCTTACCTCCTTTTTTTACTTCCCTCTCATTCATCCTTACATTTCTACTCTTATTTTTTATTTTTCTTGGACTTTTCTTGTATGCAACCAAACAAAGGAAAACTAATTTGCAATTGTGTTTTTCCTTGAAAATATGTTTTCCATGAAAACTAATTTTCTATTGAAAATATTTTACATTAAACCAAACGGGGCCTTAGTTCTTCATAAGTTTTTCTTTTTTGTTTTTGTTTTTGAAATAATGTGTAATTGAATATGTGGTTTGATGTGTCCCCCATTATAATTTGTGTCTTTATTTAATAAACTTATTTCTCACATGACATTTTTATAAATAAACCACTTTACAATTGAATAAAGTTGTTGGTTTATTCACGAAAATGCCCCATTAAAAACAAATTTCGTTTCTTGAGAAACAGGAAATCCCCATTGAGGTCAGGCCAAGTGTCAACAAGAAAAAACTGACACTAATAATATTGCCTCAATATATGCACTATAATATGCCAAAGCGCCAATACAAAGCACAAAGCATGCATGCATATGGTTGCTAAGTTGTTGTATAAGTGCCAAGACAAACATCAAACAAATTCGAATATTATTGTTGTTTTTGAGCCTCCTGAATGCACCAGCCGAGCTCTACCCCACGCGTTGTCAATTCATTTTTTGTCTGATTTTGATCTTTACTATTTTATTTTATTATTGAGCTTCCTGCATGCAAATTATTGACAACTACCCGTTTTAAATAAATTAAAATGAAATGATATGATCATCCCTTGACATGGATCACTAAAACCTCTTGTTCTCCAAATGAGAGTCTCAACCTTTAAATTTATTAACTTTTTAGAAAAAGTGAGTTATTATTATGGTATAATATAAGATAACGATGTTTGATCAATTAAAAGTGAATAAACGAAACATGATCAGTTAGTGGATTTGATTAAAAAAAGATGAATAAAAAAGATAAAAGAAGAAAATTTGAGGTTTAAATGTATCAAAGTTGAAGAATTGAAAAAAGTAGATCGTTATACACGTCAAATATACCTTTAATTTATATATCCATAAGAGTCTTTTGGGTGTAACATTTTTTTTAACACATAATAGACGATATATTAATTAATTATAAAGTTTACAACCCATAAACCTACAAGATTAGCAACACAAAGCCTCAAGCCGAAAACAAAATGTGAGGCTATGAAAGGGATGATCTCGTATATAACAGAAAATTTGAGATCAAACCTCTAGTAAAACAGGAAATTCGCCTTTTATAACATGGATTGCAGTTATAGGATTTGTTAGGGTTGCAGATGCAGAACCAAAGCTACAAAAGGTATTAATTTGTCCGGAATTAAATAATGGAATTATTGCGATTATGCTGCTATTAAATAATGGAAATGTTGATGTTCGGTGAATGGGGTGAACTACGCTGTTGAGATGTTCATTTGATTTGATTGAATGAGGTGAATTGTGCATTCATTAGTGACGATTATTCGTTTTATCTATGTGATATTGTGTTAAATCAGGTGAATTATTGATTCATTGGTGCTCATTATTCTTTCTATATATGTTATATTGTGTTATGGTGGACTGTTTAGTTGACTGAATGAGGTGATTTATGTTGTATTGAAATGTTCATTTGATGGAATGAGTTGAATTATGCATTCACTGGTGCTCATTACTCATTATATCTATGTGATATTTTGTTAATTAAATGAGGTGAATTATGCAGTCATTAATTGTTTGTGGGTAGATTTAGTTTTGTGGCAGCAAATTTGATATAATTGTTCTTCGGACAGGATTATCAAAATGTCAGCGGGGAATGGTAGGAATAAACGTACAATGGTGAGGGGTTTTGGGATGAAGGTTGGGGCTGTGGTTGAAGATGTTGAAGAGGGGTATGGGCTCAGTAAGAAGCGTAAGGTATGTGAGCAGAAGACCATGCATTTGTATCCAGAATTGTTTAAGGTACTACAATACTCAATCTAAGATTGTTCTCACTGTGTTTTTGCATGATTAATGTTTACGAATGAATTAAGTATACTGTTTTTTTGTGTGATTAGGATGACAGATTAAGTTATGGAGGGACTGTCAAAGGTAGAGCGGAGGTGATGGCTGAACATACAAAGGCATCAAGTCGGGTAAGTTTGCTTCCTGATTAAGTGGTCAATGGGTCTAGGAGAGGAACATTAACTTTATTAATGTGATTTCATTGGCAGCCTCCTAACATGGG